TTTCAAATCACAAATTTCTCAATCTGGCTTTTGACAGGAAGCAAAATAATAGTGATTTCTTCTCTTCTCAGTTAGAATGTTAGTTTTTTGAGAGAAGGAAATTTTGTGTCCTTTTTACCTTACAACTGTCTGAACATTTGATTTTGGAGTCCCTGATAAACACATAAAAGTCTGGAGCTCGGTTTGTAAGAAGAGATCTGCCTAGTATAGACCAATCCTTTTCAAATTTTAAGAGTGTATAAAATCATTTGGACCTTGTCAGAAGGTATTTTCTAATTCATTGTGTCTGTCCCAGAGGCTGCTGTTGCAGGTGCTCCTTGTACTACACTTTGAGTTGAGACAGTATATACAGCTTGGTCACCTGCACAAAAATGGACTGGTATTAGGTTAACCAGGTAGGAAGAGGGGCAAAGGAAAGAGCCAAGGGAGAGATTAAATAAATGAGGGTGTGAATCTCAGGCCCATACTGGGCTAATACATTTTGGCATCTTTTTCGAATTTTTCAATTCTTTATCTATAGAACAAAAGGTGGTATGAAGTCGCAGTGGGGTTTAGTACAGATCTTCACTGTTAGGGAGGCAAGACCAAAAAATCATTGATGATCCCATGAGACACTAAAGGTGCTTCAAGTCTAACACTTGCTGGGGGATTAAAGGTCACATGCTAAAGCAATGAAGGCTTAAGAGAGATAGAATTAAGGCATGATAGGCTTGGGATTTTGTCAGAATTACAAATCTGTAATCTATTCTTTTCTTGTTACCCATCTAAAGGAAACGAAATAAGCACCCTGAAAAGATATCTATACTCCCATTTTCATTGTACTGTTAATCACAATAGCAAGATACAGTCACAATCTAACTGCTCATCAATGAATAAATGGATAAATGCTACATATACACAAGGGAATATTATTCAGCCTTAAAAAGGGGGATCTTGTGATCTGCCACAGATGCATAAACTTTAAGGATATTATACTTGCTAAGTGAAATAAACCAAACAGAAGAAAAACAACTTTGTGTGATCGATCTCATTTGGAACCTAAAAAAATAATTCAAATCTACAGAAACAAACCATAAAAAAGTGATTATTAGCATTGGAAGGCAGGTGATGAGGTACAGAATAGAAGATGCAGGTCAAAGAATATAAGTCAAAGATACATAGCATATACATAAATATTTGAACTCTCAGCCAGGAAAATCCCAAACTGACTTCTAAATAGGATTCTCCTTAAAGCTTCCCCCAAAGTCTTAAAACTCCATGCCTCGCTGAGTATATGAAAAGTACTGTACTTGTGCCTGTTTAGTGGAGTCAAAAGGTTCCTAGGGAAGAAGTGTGTACTAGAGTTCTGGTACATATAATATCAAAGCAGTAAGAAAAATGACATTCTTGCAAAGAAGTGATCTCTTCAGAGCTTCAGGTCCTGGTATGGTGGATAAGAACTAATTAATTAGTCTCTGGAAGAGGAAATAATTTACTGTCTAGTTCTCAGAACAGTGATTTCCAAATCACCTTCCTGTGATTTCTTTTTTCCCTTCCAACATCTACTGAAATTTCAGAATAGCCTTCCAACTAAGTCTGTTCTGAAATTTTTTATAAATATCAGCAATACGCATAAAATTAAACACCTCCATGAGCCTGATGAATTTGCCAAAAGAAACCATCATATATGAATTTTTAGGTTTTGGTGTTTTGACTATTGACAATCTGTCAACAATCAATTAGCAAAGAGATGGTATACTATAAGACACTTTTAAATTAAACTATTAAAGTGGAATCTTCCATAATATTTTGCTACAGAAAAAATTCAAGTTGATTAAAGTATGAATTCTAATGCAAAGTGCCTTTCTACATAGAAGTTAGAGAAAAGATGCTATGAACGCAAATTAAATTGTTGTTCAATGTGCTTGCTGGAGTATTTTCCTAAAACATGAAATCTTAATGAGAAAATGAGAACAATGAGTAATATGTTGTGTGGGGCAAAAGTCAGCTTGATTGATGGGTGAGGAATCTGTCCAAACGTGTTTTTTCATGGCTGTTGGCCAGCAACTTTGGTGGGCAGTCATGTCAGTAGGGGTCAGGATGACCGGCCACATAAGGACATAGTTGTTTGGTCAGAATCAAACTGATAAAGAGGCCTGGTCTGGGCCACAGTAACTGTCTCAAGGCTTAATGAAGCTGTCTATTAAGTTTGACTCTAAAAAGGCTTGAAACAATTGCTGTCCTTTTATTACAGCCAGTTCATCCTTTCTTATTGCTCCCACTCTTCTAGGTACTAAATGTTATGGTACTTCAGGATAGGCTTTGATTTCCAAGAATGCAGGCTACCTTTGCATTCTACGAAGCACTACTTTGTCTTAACCTGGTATGAAGATCACCTCCTTTGGGTTTGGAGGATGCACCGAGGTTTTACAAATTTTTTAAAAAATATCAAACATGTCAAAAAAGTATAAAGAACACTGATATATCTATTACTTAGATTCACCAATTTATGCACATGCCTTTTCAACCCATCCATTCATTTTTATTAATATTGTGATTATTGCTAACCCATCTGACAGTAAACTGAAGGTATCATGACTCTTTATGCCTAAATTGTTCAGCAAGTAGCCCCAAAGAATCAATGTATTCATATAAATGCAGTAATCAAATTCAGTAAATTTAATATTGATACAACACTATTAACTATTCTACAGTCTATATTGAAATGTTACCACTTCTCCCAATAACGGTCATTACAGAGTTTTTAAAAAGCCCCCAATCCAGCATGAGGCACTGCATTTAGCTGTGATGGCTCTTTAGTCTCATTTAATCTGGAATGGTTCCTTAGCCTTCCTGGTTTTTCATGATATTAATACATTTTGAAAAGGCCAGTTGTCTCAATGTTTCCTCATGAGTAGATTCTAGTTAGGCATTTTTCAATAGAAAATATTACATAAATGATATTATGTCCTTTTCAGTGAATCTCATTTTGAGGCACATGATGTCAGTTTGTGCTATTATTTGTTATAGTAACTCTGATCATTGGTTCTGGGGTTTTAACCAGGTTTATCCATTTTGAAATGGATAGATAATCTGGGAGAGATACTTTGAGAATGCATAAATATCATGTTACTTCAAAATCTCTCACCAACATTTCTAACATCCACTGATGATTTGTATTGGATTAGGAAGATAATCTTGGTTATGTTTTAAAAACTTTTCCCACTTCCAACTGTTCTGGGCAAGAGAGACACTCTGTGTTCTTTCAATTCCTACTGCTTAAACTAAAAAACAAGCAAGAAACTAATCCCAAAACATACTTATCTATTTGCTTCCTTTCCCCAGCACGACCTGTTTTACGCTTTATCATGTTGTTTGGTTCTCTTCTCTACCCCTGTGCACAACAGTCTGTGTTTCTTACTCTCACCAGGGTGGCACACAACAGTTGATGAACCTACACTGAAATATCACCACCCAAATGCTACAGTTTATGTTAGGACTTCCCATTGGAGTTATGTATCTTATGAGTTTGGACAAAGCATAGGGACATGTATCCCCATATATATACAGAGTGTCACTGCTGTAAAATCTGTGCTCTGCCTGTCACCCTCTTCTGCCTACCTCTACGATCACTGGCCCATGATTTTACTTCCCAGAATGTCATATAGTGGGGGAGGAAACACAAAAATCACAGTAAAGACAACTACAAAAAGCTGTAAATATAACTAATGAGATTATCAGAAGAGAGGAGGAAAAAAAAATATTTGAAGTAATAAGGACAGAAATTTTTCCAGATTAGTGTCAGGCACCAGACCACAGATCCAGAAATATCAGAGAAAGAACGTAAAGCAGGATAAATAAATAAATGACCAACCAAACAAATAAACAGCTAGGAAGCAGATAGTAATTTTACACGGTAGGAAACTGATTACTACCAGTCCAACTGCTTTAAGTATGAAAACAATTGGGGATTAGAGAGAGAATTGATAAAATAAATAGTAATCCTTTTTTTAAGATTTACTTATTTACTTGAGAGGCAAAGTTACAGACAGAAAGAGAGGTCTTCCATCCACTGGTTCACTCCCCAAATGGGCACAATGGCTGGAGCTGGGCTGATCTGAAGCTAGGAGCCAGGTGCATTTTTCCAAGTCTCCCTCGCAGGTGCAGGCCATCTTCTACTGCTTTGCCAAGCCATCGGCAGGGAGCTGGATTGGAAGTGGAGCAGCTGGGACTTGAACTGGTGCTCATATGGGAATCTGGTGCCACAGGTGGATGCTTAACTTACTATGCCACAGAGCCGGCCACTAATAATTTTAGCTCTGATATAACTTAATCATGTCTGTGTAACTATTCTCTTTTAAGGAATCCATTTTATTCTTTTAACCACCTGTTTGTTGCAACTTATAATAAATTTAAACTATCAGAGTAATCCAAGTTCAAATTGATATTTCAGTTACTGACTTATTTGAATGTTTTTTTCCTCAGTTTTAAAATATTATCACTGTCAGTCAATCAGGTTACCTTTATGCCTTTGATAATGTTATCAGTTATTAGCTTGGGACTCCTATGATGTTACATCTCTCCAGAATTCTTTCATGCAAAGGCTTTTGCAAATTTACAATGTTTAGTTTTTACTGGTTACAAAAGCTGTACATCAATGCTTTTCAAAATTATAACCAATTTTTCTTTCTTTACTTATAACTTCTGTATTGTTACCTTGCTTCTTAATTCTTTGTTGATTAATGATTTAACTCAATAAAACTCAAGGGCGAATCTCCTGGAGGTATAAAACAGCAAACTATCTATATTCATAGGAAAGATGAATTGGAATAAAAATTTTGGAAGTTTGCTATCAATATAATTTATACTTTTTCACAAATAGAAGAAATGTTAAAGGTGAATTATATTTATTCATTATATATTCTTATATATAATATATAATTTAAAATATATATTATACTATATATATATTTACCCCATAGAAATTATTTCATGAAAACCATGGGTAATAATATACTCACTTTTGATTCATCTAATCCAAGCTTCTTAAGAGACTTTCTGACATACTCCAGAAAGGAAGAACATTTGGAATAAATTTTACCAACATGTTGATCACTGTAAAACAAAATTGAATATATTTTTCAGTTTTTCCCAATTTAAATTACATATGGTTTTATATTTTGCCACTAAATATTTTTAATTGTCTCCTGAATATATGGTAAAAGCTCCCGATGTGATCAAAATGTACTAGTACTTTTGTGAATATTTTTAAGTTGCAAAACATTCAGATCTACTTTTGAGAATTTTTACAACCTACAGCAGTGGTAGGCAACATTATGAAGATAATACTATGAGAAGGATGTCTTAAGTTTGTGGTAAAAAAGCTTAATTTTAAAAATGAATATACAGGTTTTACAAAAGTTTCCACTGTGCTACAAAAGATCCCTTAATTTTATTGGCTGAATATTACTGTGCACATATCACTGCAACACCTGCTAATAATGGCAATAATTCAACAGTTTTGCAAAGAGAATTTCCTCATGCCAGCCACTGATCAAGTACCATATGCTGAGTTGGGTCTGACTTGATGTCATTTATATTGTACAGACGTTCATTATAATTTTAAACAATAAAGCATGAGATGGTTTTGAATTTAATGAATATAATACTAGTCTACAATATCTCACAATTTTGGTTACATTTTATACATAATGTAAGAATCAAAGCGATTAAAAATAAATCACCACCTACAAATCATCAAAAAACAATGAAGAAAGCCTTACTTTTTGCAGTAAAACTAATACCCCTATGACTGATTAGCCATGTCACTCTAACAATTCTTCCTTTGAAATACATCTCCAACTTATTCCTTCAGCCCAGTTTCAAGACAGCCACCCCAACTACACTTCTTATTACCTCATTCATTTCCTGATTATTCCAATTATTTCCTATTTAAGAACTCTAACTTAACCCTCTGTCCTTCATTTTGGTCTGCTTGTTACTTTCTTAGAAGAACAGTTTTATTTTGTCACTTTCCTGCTCCAAAACCCTTCAGTAACTCTTCAACTTTTGGGGGATAGTTAAATTATCAGGCCCACTATACTCACATTTTCCAATCTCTCATATTGCATTATATTCCAGAATTTATTCTTCCCTCCTTAGATCAATCTATCATTATTTTAGACTGTTCTCTATATTTCTGTTCATGCACACACCTCTTAATGAATTATATTTCCCTCCTCTTTTGTTCAGCTTCAGCTAGTTATACTTTATGATAAAGTTCAAATTTATGTGTTCTTTTGGTAACATCATTAATAATAATCTTTACTAAGTTTGAGATTCTATAACTCTTACCCTTCTTCCATTCATTTGTTATATTTTTTTAAAGATTTATTTATTTATTTGAAAGTCAGAGTTACACAGAGAGAGGAGATGCAGAGAGAGAGAGAGAGAGAGAGAAAGAGAGAGAGAGAGAGACAGAGAGAAGCCAGGAGTCAGGAGCTTCTCCCAGGTCTCCCATGCGGGTGCAGGGGCCCAAGCACTCGGGCCATCTTTTACTGCCTTCCCAGGCCACAGCAGAGAGCTGGATCAGAAGTGGAGCAGTCAGGACTTGAACTGGCACCCATATAGGATGCCGGCACTGCAGGTGGTGGCCTTACCCGCTATGCCACAGCACCAGCCCCTGATTTATTATATTTTTATCACTGCCTTGAGTTAATAGTTATTTAAATTGGTATAAGTTTTAAGAAAATATAAACTATATTTTTATAGGTTTATGTATCATTATCAGATTGCACATACACTTATGCAACTTATGTATAGAAGATATGTTATAGACAGGTGTATCTCATGTATCACAGAATAATGAAATAACTAGATAGTCAGCCAAAGACATCATTTCATATGAACTTCCTGATCCTTACTTCAAAAGAATGTTCAAGTTTTCATTTTGTTTTTAACCCACAAGGACAGATAGGTAGTTAAGTTTCTTCCATGGGCCAGTGGTTCTGGTTCTTATTTTATATTTTTTATAGGCATCTTCTGAATAGCTCAAGAGAAGAGCCACAGCACGGCAGGTAAGTATGTGGTTTCCAATCACATAGGTGCTGTCATCTATGAGCTCCTTGTTCACAAAAATGGTAGAATCAGTTAATACTTTTAGATTCTGTGAGTAGTAAAATAGATTTACTGTGAGTAGTAAATAAAAAATAAACATATGGAGCTCAAAACAGAGCCATGATATGTGCTTGTGATGTTAATATCATTATTTTTGTTGTTGTTGTTGTTTATCACTACTGAACTGTTTAGACTTTTCTTTGATTAGAACTAAAAGAACAGAGTCAAGATGATCACAAGTGCTAGCCATTGTAAGTTGAAGGCAGAATATAATGTTACTGATTTGTGGGGAGCAACTCGGACTAGACTGTTACTGGAATTAAGACTTATTCTATGCATCTGCTCTCCCACAATATGGCGCTGAGAAGGGAGTAACAACTTCTATGCAGCTGCCTCTCGCCAGGTTGAGTGATGACCTGCAGGAGCTGATCCTGCTCCTGATTGCAGGAGAGCAGCGTACTCGGCGTGTGGGTAGCAGAGTTGGGATTGGTGGAAGAGGACTATAAAGGAGGAGAGAGACAACATGCACCAGGAACATCTAGCTGAAGGAACACCTGTGCAGCCCCCGAGAGAGCCGGCCGGCGGGGTGCCGCTCCCCCGCGGAAGTGGGGAAAGTGGCAGGGGGAACCGCCCTTCCACGGAGGTGGAAGGGATAGTAGCCAACCCGGGAAGAACCAGCAGCAAACCCGGGGAGGGCCGAGCAGACAAAAGAACAGCGCAGGGTCCTGTGTCGTTCCTCCACGAAGACGGGGAGCGACATAATGGTGCCGTGACTCGGATAGGAAGCCTAGGCAGGGTTTAGTGTCGTTCCTCCACGAAGAGGGGGAGCGACACTGATTCAAATGAAATAAAATAATAATTAGGAATTATTACAAACAGACTTATGTCAATAAATTGGAAAATCTAGAAGAAATGGATAGATTTCTGGACACATACACTTCACAAAAATTTATGCATGAAGACACAGAAAACCTAAATAGACCAATGACAAAGATGTAGATTGAATTGGTAATAAAAGCCCTCCCAACAAAGAAAAGCCCAGGCCTGGAAAGCATCACTGCTGAATTCTACCAAACTTTTAAGGAAGAAAGAATTTCAATTCTTCTCAAACTATTCATAACAATGATAACAATTAAAAGGGAGGGAATCCTCCCAAACTCCTTATCTTAATTCCAAAAGCAGAAAAAGATACAACAAAGAGAAATATGGACCAATATCACTAATGAACATAGATACAAATATCCTCAACAAAATATTAGCTAATCAAATCCAACAACACATAAAAAAGAACATTCACTCGAAACAAGTAGGATTTATCCTTGGTAAGCAAGGATGGTTCAACATATGCAAATCAATAAATGTGATACATCACATTAACAAATTGAGAAATAAAAATAATATGGTTCTCTCAATAAATACAGAGAAAGTATTTAAGAAAACACAACATCTTTTCATGATTAAAAACCTTAAGCAGGGTCTGGCACTATGGTACAGTGGGTTAACACCCTGGCCTGAAGCACTGGCATCCCATATGGGCACTGGTTCGAGACCTAGCTGCTCCACTCCCTGTTCAGCTCTCTGCTGTGGTCTGGGAAAGCAGTAGAAGATGGCCCAAGTCTTTGGGCCCCTGCACCCACATGGGAGACCCGTAGGAAGCTCCTGACTCCTGGTTTTGGGTTGGCACAGCTCTGGCCGTTGCAACCAATTGGGGAGTGAACCATCGGATGGAAGACCTCTCTCTCTCTCTGCTTCTCCTCTTTCTGTGTAACTCTTTCAAGTTAAAAAAAAAAAAAAAAAAAAAAAAAAAAAAAAAAACCTTAAGCAAATTGGGTACAGAACATACTTCAATACAATGCAGGCAATATATGACAAGCCCACAGCCAGCACCATACTGATTGGAGAAAAGCTAAAAGCATTTCCACTATGATCTGGAACCAGTTTCAGCCAGAGCCATCATATAAGAACAAATAAATCAAAGGGATACAAATGGGAAAGAGGAAGCCAAATTAGCCCTGTTTGTGGATGATACGATCCTATGTATAAGGGAACCAAACAACTCCACTAAGAGATTACTGGAACTCATAGAGTTTCGCAAAATTGCAGGTTATAAAATCAACACACAAAAATCCATTGCCTTTGTTTACACAAACAATATTGTAACTGAGAAAGAACTTGTCAGTCAGTCCCATTCACAATAGCTCCAAATTTTTTTTAAATGCTTCAGGAAAAATTTAACCAAGAAGGTGAAAGACCTCTACAATGAAAATTTAAAAATGTAAAGGAAAGAAATAGAAAACACACACAGAAAAATGAAAAAAATCTTCCATGTTCATGGATAGGGAGTATTAATATCATTAAAATGTCCATACTACCCAAAACAATTTATAAATTCAATGTGATCCCAATCGAAATACCAAAGACATCTTTTTCAGAACTATAAAAAATGACCCTAAAGTTCATAGGGAATAATAGGAGACCTCAAATAGCTAAAGCAATCCTAAACAATAAAAATAAAGTGGAAAGCATCACAATAACAGATTTCAAGACATTAGAGGGCAGTTATAATCCAAGCAGCTTGGTATTGGTACAAAAAGAGACATGTGGACCAATGGAACAGATTACAGACCCCAGAAATTAATTCATGCACCCACAACAAACTAATCTTTGACAAATGAGTAAAAATCACTCCCTGGTGGAAGGCCAGTCTCTTCCACAAATGGTGCTGGGAAAACAGGATCTCTGCATGCAGAAGTATGAAAAAGGACCCCTACTTTACACCCTATTACAAAAATCAACTTACAATGAATCAGGTATCTATACCTAAGACCTAAAACCATCAATTAGTAGAGGAAAACAGATGGATCACTGCAAAACATAGGCATAGGCAAAGACTTCTTGAATAAGACCCAAGAAGCACAGGCAATAAAGGCCAAAATAGACAAATGGGATTATATCAAGCCAAGAAGCTTCTGTACAGCAAAGGAAACAATAAAGAAGTG